CCTCTCCTGTTTTCTCCTCCCCTCCCCTCTTCTCTGCTGTCCTCTCCTCCCCTTCCCTCTCTTCTCCTTTGCTGTCCTCCCCTCTCCTTCCCTCCCCTCCCCATCTGCTCTCCTCCTCTCTCCTCTCCTCCTTTCTCCTCTGCTCTCCTCCCCTCTCCTCGGCTCTCCTCTCCTTCTCTCTTCTTCTCTTCCTTCTCCCCTCTCCCCATAGCTATGGGACCACAAGAGAGCTCATCATGGGTCCTTTGCCCACCTGGCCTTGCCAGCAGTTCCTGAAGAAAGCACCAGGGCAGCTGCACCCAGCAGTGTGAGCACAGAGCTCTCTCCAGGTGAGCCCCAGATGAGGCCATGCTCACCGGGCGCCCCAGCCTCCGCTGGAGTTTATTAGTTAATAAGACAAAGTCTAGACTGATTGGCTTAAAAGCAGTCAGGGAGAGAATCTGAGTGTGCGCGGGTTCCCTGGCGTCCTCTCCAACGAGAGTCCCTGTGACGGCGCTCGGGGACCACGATGGCCAAATCGCCGTCCACTGAGCTCTGCGTTCCGCACCAGCGACCCGTGGACCCTGCCAGTGAGACTAACTGCACACGGTTTTTACAGTGCTATATATTCTCCTTTGAAGATATCAAAATATAAATATTTAAAATGGCAACTTCCAGAAAATTAAAAATACATCCTATGACAATAGTAAAAGACATGTGTGGCCAGGACCTGGAAGCAGAGGCCAGCTTTTGGGCCAACTCGGGGCTGTATCACTAAATGGCCACTCCAGGAAGCACACCGTATCTCTTAAAGACACAGACACAGTTTGATCAGTTAGGTCAAAGATTTGATACTATAAAATAGATGGAAAAAATGAATATTTTTGTGTGGGTACTGGTACAGGGATTTCAACTCAGGGCTCAAGGCTAGCACTGTATTACTTGAGCCACACATCCACATCTGGTTTTTTGCTTGTTAACTGGAGATAAGTGTCTCATAGATTTGTCTGCCTGGGGTGTTTTTGAGCCATGATCCTCAGATCTCAGCCTCCTGAGTAGCTAGGATGACAGGCGTGAGCCACTGGCACCCGGAGGGAAAAACGAAATTTTAAAATGAGAAGAAAATCAATGACGTGGTAAGAAACATTTCAACTGACAGCATGTCTTGGCGCTGGGGTCATGGATTTGGGGTGGGCTCAGCCACTGAGTAGCAGATCTGATTCTTTAAGAAAAACGGAACCCAGGTCTTCCTCAGCCGTGTGAAACTTCAAGGGGACACGTAATAGCGGGGGATGTTCTCAGGGGGAAAGCACACTGGGGAAATGGAACAGACACATTGTTCTATTTCACCATCCAAACCACATTGCTAAGAAATGACTACAAACAGTTCTCATTGCACAGAAAACATGCAGACTTCAAAGTAAATGCACAAAGTTTAAGCTCCAAGCAGGGGATTACACCTTTGCATGGGCATAGGTACGCTACTAAGACAAAGAAAAGAACAGCAAGTCTAACCTGTGACACACAGTAGCTGTCCAGGAAATAGACACTGGGTTAAATGGAAATGTACTGATAGAAGTTGCTGAGTCAACCCATCTAATGTGAATTTTAGTTTAAGCTTAGAGTATTCTCGATTGAATCTTAACCTGCTAATGTTTAAAGTGGGAAAGTAGATGTAACTATTTTTTATCATTCAAATCCTGTATTCAAGAGTTATCTCCACCTCTCCCCCCAACACACACACACACACACACACACACACACACACACACACACACACACATCGTGATAGTACTGGGGCTTGAACTAAGGGCCCTGCATTCTTGTGTGGCTCTTTCTCTTAAGGCTGGTGCTTTACCACTTGAGCAACACATCTACTTAATTGGAATAAGAGCCTCTTGAGCTTTTCTGCCCAGCCTGGCTTTGGACCTTTGTCTTGAAATTTCAGCCTCCTAAGTAGTTAGGATTACAAGTGTGAGCCACAGGGACCAGTTCAAGCCTCTCTTAAAAATGCTGACGAGTGGAGTGGTATCATGCCCATCGACCTATTCATACACACAGAAAGCACAGATCTCAGGAGAATATCGATCACATTTAAATGACACTTGCTTCTAAGTTAAAACATAGATTTTCAAATCAACCAAGTAAAAACTCTGACCATTATAGAAAACATCATCAACAACAAAATCTCCTGAAGTTCATTCATGAAAACGTAAGCTCTCTTCAAACTCTGAATTTCTGCTTTCTTTCTATGGTATGCGTGTAAATGTATGCTTATACTGAACTTCCATCTTAAGTATTTCCATGCAATCAAAATTAATCATGAACATCTTTCTGGTCCGGAGAGAGATGGCAGAGGAGAAGCTGGAGGCTAAACAAGCTCTCGCATAGAAACGTCTTTCTGTTATTGGCATGCCACTGTATTACGTAAGGCCACCAAAAGTGATTTCGCCACAAACCTTCTCTAGAACAGAAGTGGTTATTTCTAATTTTTCATTCTTAAATACTGCAGAGAACTTGCATGCACTCAAGTCTCTCCTTCTGATGACTCATTGAGAGAGAAACAGAGGTGGATTCTGAGCCCTATCTGAGATGAGCAGTTTGGGTTTAACACTTGTGATGAGTCAAACTGGACGCAGAGAGGCAGGCACTTAGCCACGAGCGCTCCCTGCGCTGTGGTTCATTCTTCTCTTAAACGGTGTAGAGCTGGAATAGAGGCTGTGAATTCCAGATTGTGAATTCCCTCCCAGGCTGCTCCTCCTTGCCCGCTTCCCTCACACTGCCAGCCCCTCTCCCCTTTCTCTGTCCTTTATTGACACTGTCCTGGTAACTCTCTTGAATGTTCCCCTGGGACAGCTGTGTCTCACTGGGTCCCGACTGAGCCAGGCCTTGGAAGCCTGCCAGCACTTGCGGCTGCGGTCAGTTCACGCAGGCTTCGGGCTGCCTCAGGACCCCTGGAACCCGGACTTCCCTAGACAATCTCCTCTGCTCCATACCTTCTTGTCTGTCACCACGGTGCTTCATGACATCACCTGACAGCTTCCCTCGGCTTGTCCGTATTTTGCTGTTGATAGCATATTTGTGTATTCTTTTCTTTTTGCGTTTTGCAGCACTGCGGTTTGAACTCAGGGCCTCATGCTTGCTAGGCGGGTACTCTACCACTTGAGACAGACCTCTAGCCTTTTTTTGCTTTTATTTTTCAGGTAAGGCCTTGGTTCACAATCCTCATACCTATTCCTCTACATAGCTGGAATCAAAGGTGCATGTCGCCCTGCCCAGCTGTTTTGTTGACTTCTTGCATGGGCTGGCCTCCAACCGCAATGCTCCCGATCTCTGCCTCCTGAGTTGTTGGGATTATAGCCACGCACCAAGCATCTGTTCTTCTCCTTTACTCTGGTGAGCTCATGAGAGCATTGTATCAATTTTTTTCAATTGTTATTAAAAGAGGAGTTACTGTTTCATAAGTCAGGATGCATCAGTATTTTCAAAGACAGTCCTTGTATTTATCCATGATACTGTTTAAAATGGGGATCCCAAGGGGACCCCAAGCATCGTAGCTCAGATCAGCCCATCTTGAGACAAGCTCCCCAGATTTCTTCTCTTCTAGTGCTTTAATGAAAATCTGTCACAAGCAAGGCTCCACCAGTAAGGGGTATGACCTCCGGTCACCTGACCCAAAGGTACTCAAGAAGAATCACCTCCAAACACCAAAGGGTTGCGATGTGAAAAAGAAGTCCTTAGTCCTCATCCAAGTCCCTATGTCATTCTTAGCAGAAATAGAAAAACAGATCCCACTATTCATATGAAAGCATAAAAGATCCCAAACGGCAAAAGTAGCAATGCTGGAGGTATCACGATGCCAGACTTTAAATGAAGCTACAGAGCCGTAGTAACAAAAACAACATCATACTGCTGTGCTGAAAACCAGCAGAGCAGTGTAGAAGACCCAGGAATAAAACCACACCAATACAGCCATCTACTTGTTGATAAATGAGCCCCAAGCACATCCTGAACAAAAGATAACCTCTTCAATAAATGGTGCCAGGGAAGCTGGATGGCCACATGCAGAAAACTGAAGGAGAAACTGAATCTCACCCTACCTACACTGAAGCTCATTCAAAGTGGGGGTGTGGATCAAGTGGTAGAGCACCAGCATTGAGAATAAAAGTGGGTTAAAGATCTCACATAAAAAATCGGACACTATGAAACCCTTAGAGGAAAACATAGGAGAAACACTTGAAGATACAACATAGGCAATAACTTTCTGAACAAGACTCCAACTGCTAAGGAAACAGAGTCAGGATTGACCAATGGGGCTGCATCAATGGGCTGCAAAGCTGTGCAGAAGCTGTGATAACGTGATGCAACTTGGTTTGTCAAGATGTGTCAGTGCACAGTTCTCCCCACTGCTTTGGCCAAGGGAGTTGGCCACATGGCAAGGGGCTGGGGCTGCCTCCCCCTCACAGCTGGCAAAGACCTGAGGGCTCCGGGCTGCCTCTGACAGCCACAGGATTGGAATTCTGTCAGCAGCCATTCTCCCAGCTGGTCCTCAGATGCAACCCATCCCTGCTGAAGCCCTGACTGCAGTCACCTGAGGCCTCTGAAAGGGAATCCAGGTCTGTGGGCCTACAGAAACTATGACGTAACAAGCAGGTACTGTCCCAAATTGCTAAGTTTCTGGCAACAGATAAGAAGTACGTCTTCTCAACTCTGGTTTGTAATCCCCTCCAAAGCCAGCTGAATCAAAGCAAACCTGCTCTCGTGACCATACATACTAACAACACTGATGGAACCACTGACAGACAATACGAATAGCATGTGTGACGTGGCACAGAGCGGTGCAGAGCCTCTGCACCGGCCTCTCCCCACCCCTGGACAGGTTCTGCATGATACAGGCCGCTCCATTCTCCCGACCTGCCTGCATGGCTGTCCATCCTTCCCCTGAAAACCCTCTAGAGAAGACATGTGTCTTACACAGGCATTCATCTAAGAGACCAGATCCTGGATTTAAGCAAACTTACCATACCCAGGAATATCATCTCTTCTTCTCTCTCGCGAGCGGTTTTCTTGCACTGATGGAAGCCTCGCCAGACCTGGAAGCAAAGACCAGTGTGTTTGCTTGTCCATGTATTCACGTACAGTCATGTAGTCATATATGTCATATTGTTTGCCCTGTATTCATGGCACAACCCCCAGGCAACACCATCAAGTCCGTTGTGTGTAGGTGTGCTCCTGGAATATCTTCTCTGTTGTGACCCTGGACAACTTTAGCTAAAGGAAGGATGAATCCTACTGGGAATTCTGTAAGAGAAACTTCTAGAAGGCAGGAATACAAGGCTAGATCTAAGGGGAGCACTTTATAATTGTACAAGAAAAATTTCCAAGGTGACATAGGGAACTACGACATAGAAACTTCCAAGGATTATACAAATCCTCTTTATAACTATCAACTTAAAGGAAATAATCTCTTACCTCTCCCTCTCACATCTCCCCCACCCTGAACCAAGCAAAATTCGGGGCAGAGCCCAGCTCTCAGGCTCAACTTTATGTCTGAATACTCATCATCTGTCAAACCTGATTCTAACAGAACCCCACTAAGGTCTTCTTCCTTTTCCTGTACATAGCCCCACCTCCAGCCCAAGAGAGAGAGGGCAGGAAGAGGCCCTCCAGGGTATTTCTAGAAAGAGAGTCAATGCTCTGGTCACCAGTGAACTTTTAAACAGATTGTTCTCTTCATACCGCTCCTCTGTAAGTTTATGTCTGTGCAAGAACTTTTAAGTTTTTATTTTTCTGTGTGCTGGTCCTGAGGGTTGAACTCAGGGCTTAGACACTGTCTCTGAGTTTTTTTTTTCTCAAGGCTAGTGCTCTACCATTTGAGCCACAGCTCCACTTCCAGCTTGTTGAAAGTTCATTGGGGATAAAAGTATCATGGATTTTCTTGCCCAGGCTGGTTTCAAACCACAATCCTCAGATCCTAGCCCCTGAGTAGCTGGGATTACAGGTGTGAGCCATCAGCACCTGGCAGTATTTTTTTAAAATATTCTTTAAGTATTGATATCCTCACTGGATTTTAGCATTTTTCTAACCATTAGCAACATTCTTTTCTAGTATTTGAGTAAAGGAAAAAGCCCTCTGTGTTTTATATCGATCTAGAATAAAAAAATTAAAATAGGACCAAATTCGGTTAATGGTTTCTGCAGGGGGAGATCTCTCAGCCCTGCAGCGGGAAGGTGTCCCCCTCCCCCACCGCTGCGCTGTGTGAGGGGCGCCGTCCCTCCCCCCCACTGTGGGAGGGGTGCCCATCCTCACCCCAGCAACGCCTGCTCCTACCTTCTGGATCCGGAGGGCTGCAATGCTGGTGTCTGCTTTGTCACCAAGCAGCTTGGATTGTCTTGCTCTGTATTCTTGAAGGTAGATTTGTTTCATGAACAGAGCTCTCAGGCGGCCCTGCCGCGCCCGCTCGGCAATCTGGATGAATTTAGTGGCCTGCTCCAAGGGTAAACTCTTAAAATATTTCTGCAAAAGGAAATGGGACAAATCAATGTTTCCACACGGTAACTACACACATGGGTTCCAGAAACATCACTCCGTTGCTTGGGACACACTGCTGAGACCCTGGTGGCACGGAGCGTGTCACCTCCTGGTGGGTTTGTCCCTGGCGATTCACGTGCATTTTCACTCTGTGCCACGCTCGTGCTGTCATCTCAATTTTAACCTCTACCCTTCCAAACGGAACAGTAACGAGCACCCTTCAACCACACAGCTTCAGTGCAATGTAACACTGCCACTAGGATTTCATAACGTAAGAGTAGGAACAGAAATTAAAGACACATTTCTAATATGAGTTTAAAATATACTTCAGGGGCTGGGAAGGTGGCTCAGTGGTAGAGCGCTTGCCTTGCATGCCTGAGGCCCTGGGTTCAATTCCTCAGCACCACATAAGCAAAAAGCCGGAAGTGGCTCTGTGGCTCAAGTAGTAGAGCGCTAGCCTTGAGCTGAAGAGCTGAGGGACAGCACCCAGGCCCAGAGTTCAGGCCCCACAACCGGACCCCCCAATATATATATATATATATACTTTAAGTCAAACACATCGTTGAAAAGCAATTGCTGACTGACCTTTGTGAACATGACTAAGGCTGGAATAATTTTATTTTGCATAGGAAATGTCTTTCAGGATGGACTAATGTGCAGTTTGAAACATCCAAAGGTGATGGGTACCACTGAACTGAAAAAGGAAGGTGCAGATCAGATTGCAGTGGGGGGAGGGTGGTGAGCAAAGTCAAGAGTGTGTTGTGCCTTTGCCCGCTATGGTGCCAGAACATGGCTGCCAGGAGCTGGAGGAGAGCCAGAGGAAGAGGCGGCCATCTTGAGTTAAGGGGTCGGAAAGGTGTCTAGAAGGATGTGCTATCAAGTTGAACTCTGCAGAACGGGCACCATTTGGTGGGCTGCTGTGTCAGGGGAGCAGAGCACGTCTTCTCTCCAGCCTTGAGCATTTGTGTATGCGAGACGGACACCGCTGGGCTGGTGGATACAGCTGTGCTTCGGAGGCCTGGAGGCAGGCAGGCAGGCTGCCTCTGTCCCTGTCCTTGTCATCCCCGCATCTACTGGCAATCTTCCGTCCACCACGGCCCAGGGCTCAGTACCAATGGGCCTGTCTGTAGGAAGAGCTCCTTGGCTGGTTGTGGCTGCACAGCCTGGCCTGCCCCTGCAGGGCAGGGACACCCCCCTGTCCTTCGCTCTGGAGTACCTGGTGTGGAGGATCGAGTGCACTGTCTATGATAGCATCACCTCAAATCCCTGCAAGTCATAGAAACAGACAAGCAGATCTGCCAGATCAACGGGCTCATGGCAGGACTAGAAGAAACATGGTCCCCTCTCCTCCCTCCAGGAGGCTTCCTGGGAGACTGCTACAAGAACCCAGCAAGAGGGGACAGGAGTCAAGAGCTGGGAAAGCTGGGGAAGAGAGGATTGCGCCGATGCAGTGGATGAGGAGGGGGAAGCTGGAGAACAGAGCGGGTCCTGACGTGCGCGTGCATGTGCACATGCATGTGTGTGCATGGGTTCCTTTCTCTTTCCCCACAGACAGTCCGCTCTGCATTTCCAAGTTTCACTCAAATGGAAGTTACAAAGGGCCAGAGAGAAAACATGCTGATTTTCAAGTTCCCGGTAAGTTTTGTCAAACCTTAATTATTTCCTATGAATAAAATTTAACTAGAATTAAGCTAGGTGAATTTGGGATAAAAAATAAATTCAGCCAAGTTGGTAATCAAGTTAGTCTTAGAGTTCCCAACTGAATGAACAAAGCATTGTGTTTGGATCTCTTGTTTCAGAACTTCTGCAAAGTGGTGATTAGGTCTCACTGGAAACACATCCAAAAGTTCCCAAGGTGGGAGGACTCAGTCCCTCCTCGAGGTGAGCACCGCCTGCTTCTCGCAGCCAGGAAGGGCGGCCACACAGACCACAAGAAGAGATTGTTGGAATAACACCCACCACATCAGGAATATCCAATCCACTCTCGGTGAGTATCTGAGCCAGGATCCTCTCTCTTCCTCTTATCACATCCAACCTCTCCTTCAAAAAATACTTGGGTATAGGAATGTCCAACTGTTGCTAGAGAAAAGAAAGAACAAGCAAAACAGCATCTCAGTCATAATTTCAGGATTCAAAACCATTTAAAACATATCATAGGGCTGGGAAGGTGGCTCAGTGGTTGAGTGTTTTGCTTTGTAAGCATGAGGCCCTGGGTTCGATTCCTCAGAACCACATAAGCAGAAAAAAAAAAAGAAAAAAACATATCATAATGACAGGGCCCATGGAGGGCAGAGAACTTATTACCGCCAATAAGACCCAGATCACCACAAAGAAAACCATTATTACACTCTTGGTTTTGTAGTAAAACTTCAGGAATTCAAATCAATAAAGCCTTAATTAACTCACAATTATCTCATGAACTTCTTGAGGAAACAGTGTTTTCTCAACCCATCTAAAATAATGATACAAAAAAGGATAGCAAAGAATCTTTGAATTAAGTAATTTATACAAGTACCACCAACTCATGTGGATATAAATGGTCACATAGGTTTTAATTATCTGGGATCATTTTTAACAAAATTTATCTCATTATAAAAGTTATCCACAAAATTAACTGGCTTTATTAGGAAACTTGATTATTGCCTAACAAATATAAACAACCATTCCCCACCCACATGTGTTGCAGATAATTTCAAATGCCTATAAAGGAAACACATATTTATCAGTCTAAGTTCAAAAAT